ATCATATATAATTATGTTTAACCGGTTTATTTAAATTAAAATAAAGATATTGTTATGATAAAATTATAATTTATAATTTCAAATAATAATAGAGTTCTAAATTTCGAAGAATGTGCATAAAAAATTTGCAAATTTACATAGAAAATTTAAGATCTCTTACACGATATGCAAAATGTTTAACTAACTACATATTATATTAACTTTCATCCATTTTTAACTTTATAAATCTATTTAAAATAACGCTACAGATTATATGATTTAATGTTTTAATATGTCTGTAGTCTTGTTTAATGTAATAAAAGCTAATATAAAAATAGATAAATTTTATTATATCCTATTAAAAACGTTGAAAATATTGAATTTGTATTTAAAGAAATTAGGCAAACAGATTTTCAAACAAATGTTTAAATAGTGTTAAATATATAATACTTATACACGTTGTATAATATCGTCTGAAGACGATAAAATGTAAATTACTTTAGTTTAATGTAACTATAAAGGTACAAGTTTAACACAAAAACCAAAAATTACGGTAATGAAACATGCGGATGTTCCTAATAAGCTTAAATTGTTATTCTACTATTTATGTGACACAGTATATGGAAGTTGTTACTATTAGTAATTTTTAATTAAATTATATCTATTATAATTATCATTAAATATTTACCATCGATATTCAAGAAGTGAATAAGAACAAAAATAATTGTTAAATAATAAATAAGTAAAATTAAAATGTCACAGTTTTGTTTCAAAAAAAGGTGGGTAAGTGGATGTCGCTCTGCTGTACAGTAGGTTACAAGTGGGTCACTGTATAATGGATGCTTTTAAATTTGAATTCAATGATACAATATCATTGTATAAGAAAAACGATTCTGAGCGAAGACGGTATGTCAGTCTAGGTTTAAGACAAATTATATACATATCTATGGTATTAAAAAAAAAATTGACTTATAATAAATTCCAAATTAATCATATCACATTATCACAATATCCATTAGGTACTTATAACATGTTATACATCAACATCAATAACAAACCCTGATACTATCATAGATATATAATAGTACACTTTAGAAGTTTCAAGTAGGTACCCCGTACCCACGAATAATATTATATAATCACAACAAAATAACTAGGTTTTTTAATATGAAATTTCGTCCAAATTTGAACATAAAATGACTATAAAAATAAACTGTGATTGTATATTTTTTAGATTTTTCGGTAAGAGAATTAACTACTTAAGTAGAATCTTGTTTTAAATTTTCAATCCTTAGCTATAAAAACTGAACATTTTATAATTTATTAATTACGATGATTAATAATTTTCGAGATTTTGAAAAATTCTGTCAAAATTCGATGTTAAAACGCTTATAAAAAAAAATTGTGCCTATGTATTTTTAATATTTTTCAACTGATATTGTAACAATATATCAGGAGCCTTGTATTAAATTTTTACACTTTTTGGCCCAACAGATAAAACTTAATTGATATTTATAGAAAAAAAAAACTAAAAAAATTGAAAACTGAAAATGTCCGTAAACGGCTCAAAAAGAGTTAAAATATTTTCAAAATTGTATGGTGTATAGGAAATGCTAATATAAACATTCAGTGAAATTTTCATGTATCTACAGTAATTCGTTTTTTAATTACAACAAAAAAAGGAAATTGCCACATGAGAAATCGAGTGAATATCCAATGTTGTAAAAATTTGAATTTCAAACGCTCATAAAAATTTAATTTGACTTTCCGGTAGAGATTTTTTTATTGATAAAGGTAGACAATCTTATGAGTAATCTTGTATTAGATTTTCAAATCTTAGATTTAAAAAGAAAAATTTTTACGAATTCTTAACTCAAAATAATTTGCTAATTTTCGTGATTTTTCCATATTTTGTCAATTTTTGAACTTTAAATGCTTATAAAAAAAAATTGTGACTAAGGATTTTTAATATTTTTCATCTGCCTTTGAAACAATATATTAGGAGCCTTCTATTAAATTTTCAAGCTTTCGCAATCAACAAATAAAATTTTATTGATATTTCTAGAAAAAAAACTAAAAAAAAACTAAAAATGAAAATGTCCCTAAACTGTTCAAAATAAATCAAAATATTTTGAAAATGTTATCGTGTATAGAAGATGCAAATATAAACAACCAGTGAAAATGTCATGTATCTACGGTCATTTGTTTTAAAGTTACACCAAAAACCAGAATCGATTTTTTGGAAAACCGATTTTGCGTAAAAATTCCCGTTTTTCCTTAATTTTTATGTTGTTTTTCCCGGCGCTCTTGAAAACTACTGGGAAATATAAATTTTGACCTCCTCAATGCACCAACGATATTCACTTTCCAATCGAACAAGATACTGAAGTCGAAAATCGAAGCATTATTTCGACTACTTATCGTGTACACAGACACAAAAAAAATAAAAAAATAAAAAAATAAATATAAAAACACACATCATTGTAAAATCAATACATTCATCGTTTCACTCAGAATCTAAAATGAAAAGAAGAGAAGACACTTACATATATTATATTTGCCTAATTGAGTACGAGTTTTGAACTAAATACTACCAATAATTAATGAGTGTTATCTGCGTAATATTTGATCAAATTTGATATTGTTAGGAAAATATTTACATAGTTCTATACTTCTATGCCATAAATATTAAATACTGCATACCATAGAATCTATAAGAATCTGGTATGCAGTATTGAATTAAAATAATTTATAATAATATAATAATAAAAATAAAATAATATTAAAAATAATAATAAAATAATTATCATGTAAGTATCTAATATACATGTACCTATATGCGATGGTTTTTAAAAAAATTAGTTTAACATATCGTTTGATCAATAATAATATAAACAAACTATAAAATATCCTTTTAGGATAATGCACCGTTTCCGCTCACAATCGTTTTTCGTATTCAATGGTTTATCGTCGAATTCTAATTTAACATAGTCAATACAATAACTGACTCAATGACTAGACCAGACAGAGCCATAGAGGTACCTACACTCGAAAGAGAGACATTCTCATTTTTTATATATCAACAATTGAACAATCTTATTTGGTAACCATGCAAACAAAAGTGATGAGAAAATAAGTGGAGGCAGACATGAGAGACATACATGAGACAAAGAGTTTAAGGCATTTTATTTCTGTACAAAATAATTAAAAAAATATATGTTACTTAATAATTCTTATTCAGTGTCCCCTAGATGCCACGGATTATCTTAGCAATAATAATAAAAAAAAAAAATATATATATATATTATAACGAATTGTAGCAACGTAAAATTAATTATTTCGGTAGTTTGAGATAAATGTAATGTAGCTATGGAAACTGAAGACTTTGTTTATTCAACAATCCATCCCTGGTGCTGGCTAGTGTAGTAGAACTAGTCAGTTACTGCTCCCTTAGGAATAAGATGCGATATTGACAATCCCTTGTTGTTGACGTACCGTATGGCCACCAGAAAGGTTCAAGTTAAATAAGTCGTGGCAATATTTTAGTGATTGTTTTGATTTAATTTTTAGAAGAAAAGATATACTTAAATCAACTACAAGTGTTTCGATTTTTAGAAATTAAAAACATAACTAAATTTTAATTAATGTGAATTTTGAATGAAATTTAACTTATTATACTAGATTGGTACATAGTTGTACATTAATTGATGTATTCAATTTTTGTTGTAAATCAGTATACGATAATTTTACTCGTATAATATTTTTTTGTAATAGGTTTTAATTTCAAACATAATTGTATATGTCCATTTAAGTCAATATTATCAAATGGTTCAAACGTTTTTCATGTCCATTAAAATTGTTTTTTAATTTATTAAGTAATAATTCTAACATTGATACAATTACAATATTTAATATCATAAGAAATAAGTTCACCATAATTGCAAAATTAACGTCAGCACGTAATATAGGTACTTATTCGATTTACCTATATATTATATTATATTTTGAAATGCACCTTTAAACACCTATTCATAAAATTGTAAATTAATATAAATATTTCTTATACTATTAAAATACCTACCTACCTATTATTTTTAATTTTTTTTTTTTTTTTATTGAAAAGTGATTGTTCGAAATATTTTTTATGTATTATAACCTATTGTTATATCTACAGATCACTTGTATCAACTGAACTGTATCAACTAAATACAAGTACTACAATGCATGTGTTTATCCATTGTGGATAATTTTTAATCTTAAAAAAAATAATGTATTTTAGTTATTACTTATTTTAATAAGGTTTTATATTATTATAAAGCTATATGCTTTACTTTTATTATTTAAGGTTTCAGATTTTTTTGAAAATATAAAAAATAAAATAATAACATTAGTTTCTGATCAATTTATGCGTTATAGAAGGGAGTATAATATGCTAATATTTTTAATTTAAGGCCTTCTCATTAAAACAATATAATAATATGGATCCTCAAAAGGTAAACTTTATAAATTAAAATTTGTATTTTGATGTTTTTGTTCTATTTTAACTAATTTGCATTTTCACTTATTGCCACATTGTATTCATGAAGTATTGAATATTTAAATCCATATATTTTGGAACTGTTTTACAATTCTAATTTTTATTTTATATTTTTATCTAGATTACAATAATTAGTCCATTTTGGTGTTACCTTTTTGTGAAAACAGATTTGTATTTATTTAATAATAAATTATGTAAGTTTGAAAAAATATAGTATATTTCTATTTACCAATGTTTTTACTGACGGGACGTTTATATTATTATATTTAAGTTTGAAATATCATATAATTTGTATCCTTAAAATGTAAAACGTTTAAAAAAAATGTTTATTTAGACAAATTAAAAAATTCAGTCATATACATTAAATACTTAAATAAAACGATAGTATCTATTATAATATTTTCCTATAATATTTCATTGATAATATTTTTTCAAGCACGATAGAAAATTCTCAAAAAAATTATTCAAATGTTTCAAAACTTACTTTTGAGTCGTGTGTCCAGTAAATCAATGGTGGTGGTTCTGGACTATGCTTTATGATGCACGTTAAGTTCATAGTACTACCCTTATTGATGAACATGTCAGGACCTCCAATGATTGTTGTTATGGGTTCTGAAAAATATAATTTGTATAAGTAATTTAAAAACCAAGTAACAGAGATCAAAAGTAACATTTTTATACTGAGTGTGCATCGCTTAATTTTAATTATAGACAATTACTACCTAGTTTATTATATAAATTGCTAAATATAAATCACTTTAATAAAATATAATAAAATGACTAGTTTTTACTTTTTAGTATAAAATATTATGACTAGGAATATTGTGATCGACTTGATCGAGTATAATTACATGAGAGTTTAATGTTTATGTACATAGGTACCAGATGTAGATAGCTATTTAACCTCGAAGAATCTGGTGCGTATAATGATTAATTGCTTTTTAATTGGGATTAGAAAACTTCTTTCGTCTGTAAATACCGATAACAATTAATGTGATACATTTAACGATATTTCCTATTTGTTCTAGTTAACGTCACTGTTTACGGATTTATAGAATTTTGCTTTTCAATGTTTTTTTTTTTTAATAATTTATTCGTTCTTACATATTTACATAATGAATAACATTAGAAATGATTATCATATTAATATACCAAATAGTATGTTCAATTATAATTTTTTTTTCCGTTTTTTAATCAAAGACGCCGAGAATATTGAACTACCCCGAACAGTCGTATTAAAAATGTGTATATCATTCATAGCCACTGTGGCACTGTACCTATTATTATGGCAACGAACCAATATATTATTATTGAAATGGGTTAAAAAAATATTTCTTTTTACGAATCGGGCCAGTTGTGATTTCAAACCAAACGACATTAATAATAAATCTTCATTTGTGGGTGTAATTCTTATTTAAAAAAATCGAAATATATACAATGTCGAAACAATCGTCGCGGTCGTTTGTATCCAAATATTTGGCCACAGATGCGAGGGTCCGTGAACCGCAGCTAGAACTGCGTCCTACCACACGGGATGATCGTCATTATCGTTATCATATTTTTTTTTTTATAAAATATATTATTATTATTTTATTTCATTCTCGTTTTGTATGCAGGTTAGGTAAGGTTAGGACGTGCAAGCGGGCTTTTCTTTCTCGCCCACGCACACGTTGGCTGCCGATCCACTCGAAGAAACGGGCTGCGACGAGGACGAAGAAGTGGCAGAAGTCAAGATAATAATATGACGTATAGCCGTCGCGAGGTGGATGAGTGGCGGTGGTGTCATTTGTCACGGGATACACTGACAGTCATTACAAGCACTCAAGGGCCATCTGCTTGATGTCTCTGGCCATGAGCGGCATTCGCCCGACCTCCGGTATAACGTGTATGAAGGGTGCCCGGTGCGTGCACCCACACACACTCACCCATACATACGAGAGAATGCCCCCGTGTTGTTTGAATAATATCTTTCGGGTCCTAACTACATCTTAATGGTAAAAAATGTTTTTTGCAACCTTTTCCTTTTATACATCGCTCTCGCATAATGCTGAAATTAAACCTGCCACCACGGCCGGTCACTACGTTAACGATCAACTGTCGTAAAGCTTTTCTCGTCCAATTCTCTCCTCCCCCCAACACCGACCAATCCATCAGAGATTTACATAAAAACTAGACCATAAATTTTGTCGCTGGACATAACCGAGTTTTGTTTTGGACACGGACACACACACACACACACAATGTTTTACAGCCATGTTGCTAATAAGCTAGATTCAGTCATCAATATTTTTTAAATCCTACTGAATATAAAAGTCAAATGTTATCTCTGACAAAAAAAATAATATCCAAATCAAACATAATAGTATTCCGAGTTTTTATTACCAAATATTTCCTAATTGATTAAAAAAAAAAACAAATATTCCATTGTGTTTACATTTGTCGTAATCGAGCCTTGTTTTTGTTGTTTTTTGGTAATCATTTTTGATTATTTTGAAGTAATGACTAATGACAGTCATAATTATTTGTGATTGGGTCAACTAGTACATGAAATCACGATTACAATATCCTTATTAATATAGAAACGGTGCTTAGGACAATAATAACTTTCATAGATAACACCCGTGCTGATGTGATAATTACTTAAGCAAACATGATCAATATTATCAAATTATTTGCAGTAAATTATAATACCAGCGCTCTAAATAATATTCCGGCTAAAAAATAGTTTTTCTAATCTACAAATCACCATAAATCTATATGGTACTTGTAAGTATAATATACAATACCTATTAAATTCTAATTTTAGTACAGACAGTTGAGTGACCATACAATTAAAATTGATTACAACTAAAAAGAAGTTTAGTTAACGAAAAATAACATATAAAATATTATGAACAATATTTATTTATTTTAAGAGCAGAATAATATTATGTACCTATTAATATATATATATTTTTTTATTAATGTTGTTCAAGATTCACAATTTTTAATAAATTGTATTTAAAGTTTGAAACATTAATTTTAATTCTTATATTTAAATTGTATTAATTTATTCAATATTCTTGAATACTTAACTTGTTTTGTTTTAAAATGCATTTAATTTACCAATAACTTTATAATTTATATGTTGTTTATTATTTTTATTAGTGTATTAAAGTTTTTGTTCCGATATAATATTAATAATAATAATAATGTAGTAATATTAATTTTTATCAGGATTTGTATTTTAATACCATGCTTACACTATAGTTAGGAACAAAAAACAAAGAAACAACAGCAACTTCATCAATTTTTAAATTTGGCAATAAATATGAAACAGCAAGAAATTACAAACTTTCACTTTTCACCAAAATACCAAAATTAAAACATTTACGAGATAAAATGTTTAAGTTGTATTTTATTATTAAATGGGGTGTTCAAACTACACAACCAAAACAGAAACAAGACATCATGGTTTTATGGTTATTAGTTTATTTTACTTTTGTTTAAAATTTAAAAATTTAACCACGGGTGTGTGGTGCAGAGTGGGGACATGTCATAAAAAGTTATATGTGTTTAAAAATCAAATATTATTAGTAAATTGTTTACGTTTGATCATCGTTTTTTTAAACTATTATACGTTATGGATTGTTAACTATCCAGTTCTTATCAAAACGTCTATTGATATTTATTTCATAGTTACTTTGATTCAAGCTACTAATTAATTTAAAACAGATTAATTAGTAGCTTGAATTAGTAAACACGATAATACTAAAATTAATTTAGGTGAATTTGTTCTAATCAAAACCTTACAAATTGACAAAATGTCATATCATGAAGTTATTCTTGAGAAAATTAAAAATGTGTTTCAACTTGATAACTTAAAACCACGTGGCTTATCTTGATATAATAATTATAGGTTTAAGTTCCTTATTACTGTGTGTAGCACAAAAAGCAAATATGCATAGAACGAATTAAATAAAAAAGGGAAGACGCTCTGCTGTATGCCTGTATAGTAGATATCATATCATGAAATAATAGATATTATTATTATAAAATATAAATTATTTTAATCTAATATTTATTAATATTGATCATTAAATATCTTTCAAACCTTTAGAAATTCTAAGTAAAGGTGCCATTGATTCTGGTTCCATTAATAAAAGTTATCAAAATTGTATTTCTAATTTACTCATACATATAACTCATAAGTTAGTGTGAATAGTGTGAAATAAATCTCTACTTTATAACAATATTATTGCTTCTTATTTAAGAAAAAAGTTTATGGTGGGGGGAGGTGACTGCTCTTTTTACCTCCACCACCTAGGCCTAATTTAGGCTTCATTGAGTTAAATTAAATTAATTAAGAAAAAAATTAAAAAAAGGTTAGGTATGCTGGAGAAAAATAGAAGATTAGATCTATTAATATATATTGGAGGATTTTGGTGATCAATAGAGTGGATTTTTTTTTAGTGAATTTAGTACAAATAGAGTAGGTATAGGAATTTTAAGCTCATATAAAAAGTGTGGTTGCTGACTTACCATGGAGATACTTATTAGTTAAGACAATATTTTTATAGATATAGAGTCAGAGTGTATTTATTAACTATTTATTATTTATATTTATCTAACACTGAATGTATAATTTAATTTATAGAACTATATTTTTGATGGTTTTTTATTCTTAACCTTTAATTTATGAGTAAAAATGTAATTTATGGTGTAGAAACTAGGTATCATACAAAGTTAGTATGAACCTAATGTTTATTCTGTAAAAAGTTATAACAAACACTTACAATCGTTTGCACATTTTTAAATGTTTGTGTATGGAATATATTTGAGAACTTACTAATTGTTATGGATAAATCATGCTTGGAAAATATCATAAATTTATCGGCGTTAATGTTTGCATTCATTTACAGCGGTGAAATGATTAATCGGTATTGTAGAGTTAATTTTTAGAAATTCGTACTCTAAGGCAACATTTTATGCGTCGTCATTCAACGGGGTCCTAGCGCGCACAACAGGGTATAATTTGCATTTGAATTATTGCACTTTAGTGTAACACACACACACACACACGTCACACACAGACACACACACACACACACACACACACACACACATCCACACCCGAATCCACGCGTAGTGGGTAGGTGTGTATAGTAAAAGATAGCTGATACACAACACGGAATAATTGAAAACGGTACGGACATGCCACATTATATAAACCGTCCCATTTCACCCCTCGTTGTGACTATTTGAGGTGTATAATAATATGAACGAATACGATAAAGTGCCATCACGACAAAAGACGTATATGTATGCAAATGACGTTCACCTCCGTCATCCACTGCCGCTGATGGCGATGCCGAAGCCGTCGGGAGACCGTCATTACAGTGTCGATCCATCGTCGGTAAAAACTTCTCTCCTCTCAGTCGCTCTTTTCGTAAAAACTTCTACACCAAAATCGCCATTCATTATTCATACGTGGTCTGCGAACCGTGGCCCTATTGTTTGCCGTTAAAATGACATTGGCGCTATGAGAATTTACAATTTACATCGTTATCGATTTTGTCACCACTCACAAATGGTACAGCGATAGATAGATAGAAAGAGAGAGAGAGAGAGAG